CAGCCGCTGCGCTAATTGTGCAAAAAATGGGCTGATAACAAACAATGTAGGTGCCCTTCTCATCATCAATGGGAAGGGTATCAAGCTTCTGTGCCCTCGGGAGTTCCGTCTGGGTAGGACAGAGCAACACCTGTAGAAACGGAAAACATGTGTTTTTCAACAGTGAAGGGGCTGACTCGGCCTGTGGTGTGTAAGTGCAGAACCAAGCGATATATTGCAGGAGTCTAGTTTCATATTTATAGTTTGCATAAGTTACAATTGGGGATGCTTGAGTACTTTTTGAGGGGTTTAACGGAATCCATATCCGTGCGTTTCACCAGGACGAAATACGCAGTCAGATTGGCTAAGGGACCTTGGGAAGCTAATGACAGTTAGCTACCCTTCAGACAGCCAGAACCTGGGACCTAGGCAGCCGCGCAGCCAGGGCAGTGGCAAGGTGAGAGCACAGGGTAAGCCCCCTCCCCCCTCCCAAAAACGCTAGGTATGGTTCATTTGTTAATGTGGACATGTTTTTCTTAGATATTTTTCATGTTTGTCTCTTATAACTTGAACAAAACCCAGAGCCTACGGCGATATCAATTCTGTCTGAATTTTATAGCCAATGAACTGAAGAAACCATGCGTTAAATGACTGCGTGAAATAAAGCACCGGCGCTCTTCATTTTGCGGTGGTCCAATGGACTTTTCTAAAACGACAGAACTCAGAACCCTTGTCAGGATCTACATGTGGGCTGTACAGTGGCATTGAGCCCACGAATGTGGGTAGTGTTTGGCTAGGCATGTTCATTGTTCGTCAGAATTAATTATTGAAACAAATTGTGTACAAAGCTTCGACCATGCGCGTTCGCAAATCTTACCAACAAAAACCTCGACGCCAGGTTCTGCAGTCTCCGTGCGTCGCGCAGGGCTGGTCCGGTGCCTAACAACAAGCCGTGGCCAAAATATGAACAAAATGATGACGCATTTCAAAGAAGTGCCACGTTTAAAAGGTACATTGGATGTACATTTTCTATGTGCGATTTTTAGATTGATGCTAAGAACGGGTTGACCTTTACGGCGCCGCGATGTGGTGCTGGAATCTGGTGGGGCGGCTGAAAGAGTAAAGGAGGAATCCCTATTTTTTCGTGTTGCTGTAGCTGTTGCTGTTGTTGTTGTTGTTGTTGTTGTTGTTGTTCAGACAACAACCTTACCGTTAAAAAATATGTGCTCTGTCTCATCTCTGAATGGTACGATTTCTTTTTGAAAGACATTCGGAACTACGGTTTCACGACGGTCATTCAAGCACGCAGAGCCCTCCACCTGGCGGTGCTTGCAGTGACCAACGCCGCTCGAATTACGAAAATTGCAACCCAGGCCATCACTGTCCTTGCTCTCGAGATTGTAGGCGCGCATGCTCAGACCTTTCGACGTAATTTGTTTCTCCAGCTGGTCCTGCAAAAGAATAAACATTCTCTGACAAGTATGGAATGGCTTTTTTCGTTTTCCAACTTATTTCAAATCTCTCTTTTCAACACTAATGAGATCCCTTTTTCTTTCCTGGAAAAGGGCCCTCTGGGTATAACACTAGGGGGCACATAATTGCTCCCAGTCAGGAGCTGAAGGGACATAGACTTCAGTTTGGCTTAACGGGCCCTTGCTGAAATTGGGTCGCGGGGCTCATCGTTCGATACTGGGGGCCCTGACTGGCACAGGGCACTTCTATCGCCTGAGTACGAGTACTCATAAGTTCTCATATTTCCTTTCATCGTCAGAGGGCTCGAACCAACACAGGAGGCCCTGTGTCATTCGAGGTCTCGTCCTCGTCCCTGTTGGACAAATCTTCCCCTGACCGCCTCGAGACCCCCTGTTGACACAAAACGTGTTAGTAGGTACTGTGGGCCCGTGAACGATAAAAGAGGCATGCGTTATTGCAGGGGCCCGGGCCGATGTAAATCGTGGGCACGGTAGTGTCCCTGCCTGGTAAATGGGCCCCCAGAGCTCAGATCGACACGGGCCGACTGTTCGGTGTTGGTGATCTCTGGCCGAAATAGAGGAACCCTCTGTCTCAGGGGTCCTCAGTCGGCGCATGAGGCCCCTAACTGATATTTGAGATCACGGCCCTGCGGGCGGTGGGTCTTTACTGTGACCTACAGCCAGCCTTTTGGGTCCCCCAGCCTTCCAATCCGGCCCTTGATCTTTGGTCTCGAGAGAATCTAAGGCCCCTCTTCGGGTGCCCTGAAGCACCTGACCTGGCCGACTCGAGGCCACTTGCCGCCACAGGACTCCCGCTAGGCACTGTGGCCCCTGCCCAACACAGTAGCCCCCTCCCCCATTGTCAGGTACCTCGAACACTGCATCGTGGGCCCTGGCCCCGCTCCCGCTTGGAGAATGTGGCTCAAGGGCTCAGACTGACATCGAGCCGACTGTTTGGCTTTGTTTCGAGACCCTATATAATAGGGCCTACCTAAAGAGGACGATAAGAACCTTAATAAGAGGACGATAATAGAAGCCCTTTGACTGACATTTTAGGTCGCGACACTACGGATGGGACTGGGCCCGAGTCCAATCGAGCCCTTCGTCTTCTGTCTTCGGACCACCGGCAAACACGGCTCTTGGCGACTTGGGTCACTTGCTAACACAGGACCCCTTTTAGGCGCTGTAGGCCCCTGGCCGACACCCTCATGGTTTCAGTGACCCAACTAATGAAAATCGCAGGCGAGGTCTTGCTTTTGCTCGGGAAATGGACCCCAGGGGTCAGACTGACACCCAACGGGCTGTTCAGTGTTTATTGGTCTCTGGCCGAAATAGAGCCGCGCTGTCCCAACTTCCCCAATCAATGCAAACGGCTTTCTGGCTAACGTTTGAGGTCACGGCCTTACGGATGTCAGATCGGAGTGCATTGGAAGTGCTCGGGGAGTGCATCCTTAAGGTGGCTTACGGTCGCTCGGTCGGGCCCTCCAGCCTTCCAATCGGATCCTTGCTCGTTGGTTCCAAGGGGCTCTGCGGCCCCCTTCGGACCTCCTCCAGCAAAGTCTGTGATCGACTATGGCCCACCATCCGACACATGACTCCTGTTAGGCGCCGTGGGTTCCTGATCTAGGCAGGGGCCCAGACCATTGCTTCAGGGACCTCGACCGACGGAAATCGCGGCCCTCGGCCGTGCTCCTGTTCGAGAAATGGGTCCCCAGGGCTGAGACTGACATGGAGCCACCTGTTCGGTGTTTGTGGTTTCTGGCTAATTTAGACACCACCCGCATTATCTTAAAGGTTTTCAGTTGGTGTAAGAGGAACTCTGCCTGATATTTCAGGTCACGACCCTGCGGGCCGCGATTATTTATGCATCGCCATTCAGCCAGTCATTCGGGCCTGTAAGTCCTACAACCGGGTCCTTGGTCGTCGGTTCCGTTGGGTCCGCCCAGACCCCTCTTTGGGTTTCATCAAACTTCCCTTGGTCGGCTCGGCGCTCCTTTCGAAAACAGGGCCCTCTGATAGGCAATGTGGGAACCTCCCAGATAAAGTGGGCCTGACTAGTGTAAATCGCTGGCCCCGGCTTGTAGCTGATTGGGAAGTGGACCCGGACTCTTAGGTCAATATCGACAGGCAGCCGACTATTCGACGCTGGTAGCGCCTGACCGACAGATAGGCACATATTGACTGAGGGAGTCCGCGATCGGCGCAAAGGGTCCTCTGACTGTCATTTGAGGGCCCGTGACCGTAGGCCAGGGCCCCTGAATATGACGCCGACCACCCTGCGTGCTGTTCGATCTTCCATCGGGCCGATGATCGTCAGACTCGATGGGCCCTCCATGCTCTTCAGACCTCCTCGAATACCGCCTCCGGCCGACTCGGGGCCCACACTGCGGGGCCCTGACAGACGCTGGGCCCCAACCAATGTAAATTGCTGGCTCCGGCTTTGTCTCTCCTTGCGAAATAGGTCCTCAGGCCGGTGCCTGACCTACGTATAGGGCCTTGTCGACTCAGGGGCCCCCGATCAGCGCGCTTAGTCCTCTGGCTGGCATTGGAGTGTCCGGCCCCACGGGCCGGGGCCGCTGAGTGCGACCTCTGGGCAGCCTCTCGGGCCCTTCGATCCCTCAAATCTGTTCCTTAATCGCAGGTCCCGAGGGACTTTCCGGGCCCCTCCGAACCTAAGGGGGGAGGAGGCGGTACGTGCCCCTTGTGCCCTCCTCTCCACTTGCCTGCGCTACTGGCCTGCTGCGCCCACAACATTGATGCAATAGTGCACACTCGGCAGCACTGGTGATTGCACTGTTTCACACATGAGGTTCTTTGCCGTCAGATGACGGTGATGCATGAGCACAACTAGAGCTCATTTTGCAGTGCACTTCTGCACAATGGTGCGAAGTTATGATGCCCAAGACAGAGTTTCATATCAAAATAGCGCCCTGATCGTTGCATCTCCTTCACTGCGGTGATGAGCCTATCATGAAAACCTACCCGGAAGATAGACTTCTGATGCGCTGGCATGTTCCAAACAGCTAGTTATTACCTGGGTGTTTGATGGGTTTAACTTCATCCCGTTGTATGCGTTTTCTCCCATTTGTCTATGGCCTGAGGACCTTTGGCTGGACCAAGGCGGCTCAGCCAAGGACCTCGAGATGCCTCGAAAACTATATGCCTTTTACATTTTATAGAATCTATCAAGTCTACCAGCACAGATTTTTTGTATTTTTAGTTTTATGGTTATGTTGTGTAATTAGCCAATCATTACAATGCTTTGTTTATGGTTGTTAGACCGCGTATACGAAACGGCCGGACAATAAGATTACTTTAGTACTGAGCTGCTTTTTCTCTTTGAATACATATATGGCACAACTGTGACTAAATAAGCCGACCGTAATCAAGTTCAAAGAAATCCAGGGTGTGGGAGCGCGGATGATTCACTCGACCGCAATTTTGAGCATCTGTAGCTTTAAGGGCTCCCTCGCAAAGTGTTCTTGTCTCTTAAGACCGAGTTTTGCAGGATTTTGGTGTAACTGTAGGCTGTATCTGGTACGTCCTCCGATACGTTTTGAAGATATTTTTCCGTTGAATTGCGTATGGAGCGCGGTGTGAGAAAAGCTGGAATTTCCTTGTGTTAATGACACCATTGAACTTCGTGCGCTGGGCTATCAGCTGGAATAAATGGGTACTTTTTTATTCCATGATGCTTTATTTCCAGTCTAGTTTACAGAAAGTCAGCTGCTGCTCAAATTCAAATAGTGATATGTAAGTGTTTCATATGCACAGTTTTGTAATCTGGCACCAGCATCCCAGATCATTCCAAAGGAGCAGCATGTCACCCACCCACTCAGCTATCATTGTGTACCAGAAAATCAAAAGATATGGCTCAGTTGGGAAGCAATCATAAACTTCCGGTCAAATTCAAGCAGACACAATCATAAAGTTTCAGTTGAAGATTAGTTGAAGTCAGCAGTTTTGTTTTTTGTGTAAAATGGTTAATTTCCACACAGCTGGTGCCAGGCCAAACAGATACAGGTGCTGGATGGGCTGGGTTACCATGTCATGCAGTTAAACAACTTCAGGCTGGGAGTATTGCATTACCTATGCACTATCTTTTTGTCACCTATTTCGAGAAGTTCTGTCAATACGTCTGTGAAACTGCTGCCATTGCGTAGTGCTTCATCGATGTCTTCCTTCTGACCTCGTATATGCACACTGCATTTTCATGTCAATTGTTCCAAATGCTTTCACAGATTTGAACATCCCTGCAAACCTCACCATGAGTAGTGTCACTGACCATTCCAAGGACATGAATCATGCAGATGCTGGAAATGGTGAAGTGGATATCTACAGAGATACTCCAATCAGACTACTAGGTAACTGATGTACCATATATACCACTGTCTTTCAGTCCTCCACATGATGTTGATTTCCTAATATGATATGTATTATCTTTGTAATATCAATATAATCTTGTTATTTTAGATATATGCTCTGATGGTTAATAATTCCTTTGATCATGATAACCAGTTGATAATATTGGTTTTAACTTTTTTATTTATACTGTCTCTTTTGTATTTTCAATTTAGTTCTTTTATTTATCCTGTGGCAGTGTGTTCCATCAATGTACTGTGAAAGATATAATGGCACAAAAAGCATGTTAAGTGCAAGTAAATGATAAGTGTGTTTTAGGTTCACTTGTGTATCTGTCTGGAGGGAACGTACATCCTCCCTGCCCAGGAAATGAGGGAAGCAAAATGTGAATTGACCGTCTTTTGTGTATGCTAGTCCCTGTATTCATGGATCAGCTCATCACTGGCATCATGTGACTACTGACTGGTTTACTGGAAGTGAAGCTCACAGGGAGCCAAAATATGTATGGAATCAATTTTAGGCTTGCAGTGCAATACCATGGTCTTGATGCCAGGTATTAAGCCAGTGTTAGCTGTCAGGTGGGGGGGGGGGGGGGGGGGGGCAGGGGTGGATTGCTAGGCTCAGCAATTGTTGGGGAGCCCATTACCTTGTTCTCTCCCTTCCCCTCACATCATATTTTCACACCATTGTTAGTATGTGTTGTTCACGGTAGTGCATGTGCACATTTAACTTGGAATTGAATTATCTGTATTAATTGGTGGTGTCATCAGTAAAATTGTACCATCATCTTGGTACCCATTTTCCTAACAATGTGATTGAAAAGCACTGTGTGATGTGTTCACAGGCTATGCAAATGAACTGGGAGAGGCGTTCCGTGTCTGGGTCTCGCCTTTCTGGGTGAAGGCATCATATGGCGTGGCCAGTGCTTATGTCGTGGCAGACACATATGATAAAGGCAGCAAAGCTGCACAGGTATGCACTGTTAGAAACACGTTGTGTCATGGGTCGTATGTGTTGAGTGATGGGGTGATGTGTGACCATGTGTCATTCTTACTGGTGCAGCACGTTGATGAACCCTCAGGTAATGTGCTGCATCCAGTGATACTAATACGTCGCATGTGTAAATGTGTTTATTTCCTGGGTAACGCGTAGAAACTATCGTAGCGTTGGTTGTCGCTGGTTTGAAATAGGTTTAATCATATTCTCCCTCATGCAATGTCGTCTACATGATGTTTAAACTGTGTCCGCATAATGGATGTCACGCAACCAGCTTCCAAATTACATGCCTCGATGTGGCGGCATTTGTGGCAAATATCCAAAAACAAATTGAAGTACCGAGATTGACTTTCCAGACTTTCGGACAAAGATACTGGCAAATTTGACTCGTACGTTTCGTTTCACATTCTGAGTTGCGCTTCCCCGTGGACCCAAACTGATGTGCGCCCACGACATGCAGTGCGGTAACTATCGGTGCCGGTGCGGGCGTGCCGCTGTTGCAGCTGCCGCTGGGCGATGCTGAGCGTCGCACGCGCGTGCTGCACGTGTCGGTGGACACGCTGCTCTGGCAGGCGCTCGCCTCGGTCATCATCCCGGGCTTCACCATTAACCGCGTGTGCGCGGCCACGTACTGGACGCTGGGCCGCACGGCGCTGCCGATGGCCATGCGGAAGCGGCTGACGACCGCCGCCGGCCTCGCCGTTATCCCGTTCATCGTGAAGCCGATTGACACGCTCGTCGACTTCGGCTTGGACAAGACGTTCCGCAAGCTGGCGCACATCTCACCCGAGGAGAGTCAGCACAAGGGACGCAGTCACTGACGACGTGGTGCGCTAGGCCCGGCTAGGTTTGTCTCGTTGAAGTTGCTGTGATGAGTAGCGTAATGGCCGGTTTTGTCGCTGGCACGCCCCACGAGGAATGCGGGTAGCAGGTCACGGATCTTTTTACTCTAAAGCGTACGGGCATGACCGCGTTACGTACCGTGACACGTTGTTACTGCGTTGTGTCTGAACTTGTTATTTGGCACCTTCAACGATGCTGCCGTTTTTTCCTGATTTTGACCGAGCTCATGGTTATCGATGGCACGTTTGATAATGCTTTAACGCAGAGTTCCTGAGCTTTTCTACCAATGCGGCGGGGCGGCTTCACTGCTATAAGCATAGTGAACATCTTCCTGGAGTACGTTTTGCTCCCGTAGTCTTCCAGAATGCATTGTGGGATTGTTTCCTTTCGTCGTCTTAGCTTTTTTGAAAGCTTGAGTTCGTATACTGATTACTGGAACTTGCCTGGGACTTGTTTGAATACGCTAGTCACTAGATCAAGATGGATCGCTGATAATTGTTTGTAGTTTTGAAATAGAGCCTTTTTGCCTCTTTCCGATTGTTTGCCAATTTCCGAAATATTTTATCACTCGTCTTGCGTTTTAATGCATGTTCCTGTCCCATTAGCAATGTGATTGAAGCAATGCGAATAGAAATGTGACGTGATAGACTCCAGTCCACATGTCTTCGTGTGGCTTTGGCTCATAACTGTGAATGCTGTTGTTACTGATTTTGAAAGCCGTGTTTTTGGCGGCGCGTACAAGATGAACAATATCTGTTAACATCGCGCCACGGCACAGCTGTTTACGGGATTGTTATTTCAATACATAATCCAATGATATGAAATTTGCAGTCGCTGTGTTTTTCCATTCACTTCATTGTTGCCGTGTTAGGTGTTTTGCGTTGTTTCGATGTTTTAGTATGTTAGCAATGCGAGGGCACTGAAGCTGTAGCGACCCGTCAATGGTCTTTGCAAGGCACAGCAAGATAAGCTTTTCACAAAACATCATCATCGTGGTCACAAGCCGTCAAACGTCACCCTCTAACACTTTGTGGTGGGTCCCATCATGAAGCTGACGAGTCCCGGCGTCCCTCAGTCAGTCGTTTCCAGCTGTCTTAAAAGAACAGGCTCAGACAGAAACACGATTGTGACGAACCATTTTTATTCATCCAGAGTAGGCACTTCTTAAAGAATGACGCACTTTGAACAAAAGTTATGGGGAGACACCAATCTCTGCCTAGCGAATAAAACTGCACGAAATGCTACGCAAAATATATAAAACCCATCCGTTAATTGATAACAACCCCCAAGAATCATCCATACAATATATCCATGAGACGGCATGCTACTTGAGCAGCAGAATGGCAGCGATCCCAACTGCATTTTGAAACGGTGCGCGGTACCATTCATGTAGCATTATGCACAAGATCAGCATAACGGATGAAGGCAAACAACGGCATATAATAGCAGCAGAGACGTACCAGAGTCGGCGTCTGCTCTTCGACACTTGCGTGCGGAAAACGTTCTTCCTACGAGGTAAAATGAGGTATGCCTAGTGCACTGAGCTGTGATGCAGACAGTCCCGTCACCACTACTGAGCATTCGGAGCTATAAGGTATGTACACACCTAAACAGGGGACTGAGGCCTTCTGCATGTGCCATTTCCCAACTGTTCAGCTCGCTCCGGCCTGTTTCGAGTCGTCCCGCCGCTCTGGTCCTCCGGGACCTGGCGCTCCCCTCCAAAGCCGTATCAGCCGCCGGAACTGGCGCCGCCTAGAGCTCGTCGCGCGCCGCTCCGGTGGCACCCCCTTCCCGGACGCGGAGTGTGCGCGGCGCCCTCCAGCCTTCCTCCAGCTCCAGGCCGTGCCAGAACTGAACGCGCTCCTGGAAGGCGGCAGCGCCGACGGCTGGCGTCAGCGAGAGGCGCATGTGGTTTTGGCGGGCCTCGCTGTACGGCTCCCACTCTGGCAGATCCACCAGGTTGGTAGTCGGCCGGCCCGTCTTGGCGAAGTTGGCCCAGATGTTGGTCAGCGCTCGCGCAAACTTCTTGTCGGTGGGATCATCCGGGAACAGTTCGCCCGTGAACAGGAACCGGATATCGTCGAAGTGGCACGTGCCTGGAACCCAACGACCCGCCGGCTATTCGTATTACATTGGAACTACGAACAGTGTACTGGTGCAGGAACATTCCGTTGAAGCTGCTTGCATTGCGTGAAATTGCTACGCTTGTTCACAAGACAACCATGCCTCCCGTTAACCGATACTTACAATAACAATGGTACTTGCTTATCATGGTTTCAGTTGACTTGTGACGTAAGTTAAATTTTGTCATCTCGCTATGCTGAGACATCCGGGGACCACAGTTTGAGTTCAGTTACGTCATCTGACCTCTTCCGGCGCAAACATATGCGTACCATATGCGTAACAACCGAGCACATAGAATGTATGCAGCACGTACCCCAGGGAAAGTGCTGCAGCTCCTTGTTGCCAAAAGATCCGGCCAGCATGCCTGGAAACGCGATACTGGGCGCCTGTTCGATGACGTACTTGTAGACGGGCGCCAGGTTGGCCCGGGCGTGGGCCCGTACGGCTGCGTCCACGCCCGTCAGAAAGTATCGGTCACCCTCCACCTGGCGGCATCAGTGTATGCCAGTGGGGCGCCCAGCGACCGGAAAAGTATCCGAAAACAAAGTCCAGAACCTGTGTAATCAACGGCAAACATCAGAACGTTGTGCAGTTGGCATTTGACAACTGTTTTTGCCCTGCGGTCCTCCTTCATAGGTGTAACACGATGTCCTCCGAGGTGATGGAGCCCCGGAGTGATCTGGTGACATTAGGTCTCCGCCACTTGACGTGAGTGTCGCAAGGGGGACGCACGGGAAACGGTTCGATGCAGAGCCGTTCATCATCGGTGGCTGACTGCCGCGAGGGTCACGGCATTTGTACTTCCCACGCTTGAAGCGCTCGGTGTGACCAGTTGGACGTCGGATGTACCTCATCACTGCAGCGCTCCGTCAAGGCACCTGAAAGGCTAAAAGTAAGGGTTTTTTTGACATGTGTGATGCTCTTAATCTTCCCCGCAGACGTACTCGGCGCCTAGCGACCGCTCACTTTGTTGAATTGATGCGCAGTGGTGAGGCCTGGCTCCTGATCGCCAAAGTAGAAGTTCTTGATTCGCCGGTAGATGTCGGCCGGATCCTTGGCTGTGTTCTGCATCCCCAGCCAGAGCGGCCCCATCTCATCAGGCTTGTTCCGCAGCTCTTCCAGCGCCGAGGCATTCAGGAGATGAACTGTGGGAAGTGGTCCCCGTAATTAGCTGTCCTCAGCGGAAGGGGCGCCCCCACACGCGCCGCCACTGCGAGCGCTTTAATAAACACCCAGCTGCGGCGCGACCATTGCGTCCTCTTCGGACGTCTATTCCGGCTACCACCCGCCAGTCGCGGTAACGAGCGTCATCATTTCCGCGGGCGACGCCGCCGCGTCCGTGCCGGAAGATCGCCGCGACACAATCGTCTCCCCGCCACCCGCGGCTAGCGGCGCGGCCGTGTGCCGGCGGGACTCACAGTTGGCGAACGTGCCGCCCTCGTCGTGATTGACGCCGGCGATCCAGGGCACGGCGCTGAAGTCGGCGGCGTCGAGCAGCGCGCGCGGGTCGTCCGGCAGGAAGGCGCCCTCCACGCCCGGCTCGACGTTCGGCCGGAATGTGAATGTGGCCGGATAGATGGACCAGAGCTTTGGACACGACGCAGAGCGTCAGCCAGTGGGTTGTAGCCAGAAATACACCGCTGTGATATGGTGGGTGCATGGACACTGGACGACGCCGCTTAAGTAGTTTAAGGCGCACGCCACCATGGGTAATGTATTTATAACAGGAGGATGCATCCCATTTCACGGAATGGATAAATATGTGGGGCAAGGCACCGCCGAGTCACTGAGTGGTCTGCTCTCGTCGTCCCCCCCCCCCCCCCGCCGCTGCACGTGGCAGCCGTCGTCACCTTGAACGCCCTGTCACCCGACATGATGACCTCCTTGGCCGGGATGGCGCGCAGACAGTCGACCAGCTGGCGACTTGTGTCGGTAGGGCAGTCGAGCACCGCCGCCTGCCGCTCGGCCACGTGGCGCTGGTCCACCCCGTTCGCCCAGTACACCAGTGCCGTGGCCGACTGCGAGATGGCGCGGCCGAACAGGCCTGCCGGCACGTGTCGCGACCTGGCTCGGGTCACGGGCACGCGTCACGCGCGCCGACGAATCAAGATCACGGTGGACACACACCACGAGCGGGTCCCTGTCGCGGCCAGTCATGTGAAAACAGCGGTCGGAAATGTATCGCTGACTCTAAAGGGAGATGGTGGAAGCTAAGTGAACTTCAAGTGCCAAGTATGCTAGAGTGCTGAGTAAACTTTAAGTTAAGCTGGACTGCGAGCTGAGCGTCAGCGCTTCCAAATGGTATGAATAGGTGGGCCCTTGGCATGGGTGGAGTGTATTTGGTGGTAGGCGTGGTTGAAGTGTATTTTAGAAGTGTGCAGCAGTCAAAACAACGAAAAACGGACAGCGGCTTGTAGTTATGTCTTTTGTCCTGCAGCACCTCAGGAATTCAGACGCCTAACAGCTGTTTGATGAATAGGGAGCCAACTGCCGAACTTGCGGAATGCGTGGTAATGTATGCCAAGTTCCACTCCAGACCACACGGCGATCCTGTGTCAGCCTGGCAGCATTCCGCCTATTCTGTTTACGAGGCCGAATTTCTCGCATTTGAACTGCGCTGACCAACAACGGACCTCGAGTCTTCAGCGCTCCCCTCCTGCTCCTTCCAGGTAAAAAATAGCCCACAGTTTGGAAAGACACCCCACGGACGCTCAGCGAGCTTCAGCAAACGCGTGAGAGGATGGACGCTATCGCAGTCCTCCATGCCAAGCGCTCTTCTGGCTCTTTGATCTTCCGACTGAACGACTTCGAGTTGGAGATAAAAGCGACCTCAGCACTTCTGATGACTCAGCTGGACACACCCGAGCGCATCTTCTCAAAAGAAAGTCGGGATTCATATCAAAAATGTTTCATCGGTGTGCATTATGTAGTGCCATCACTATGCCGGCTTTTCGTCGGCATATGGCCGCCTGGTTTCATATTCCCTATCCAGCAACGCAGTAATAATGCTGACTGCAACGGCGCACCAGATTATAGCAATTCCTCAGCGACAAATCTCAGCGGAAATCAGATATGGCTTGATAAATCTTCATGATTTCAATTCCAAGTTATATCACGCGGAACGTGAACTGCCGATGTCGGGCTTCCTGTGCGGGTGTGTGGAGCGAGGCATGCCCCCTACATGCCAATAGATACGTAGAAGTGAGCGGATGCTAATAAGTTACAGACCGGATGCCCGCCACGGGCTGACAGCATGCTCAGTTATTACGCTGCGCCCCGGACAAGCGGTAATCAGCTGCCCCGCTGCGTGGGGTGTTCGGATCTCGGCCGGCACTGACCGCGGGAGAGCGGCGATATGATCTGGTAGTGGACGGAGGTACCGCCGGCACTCTCGCCGAAGATGGTGACGCGGCTGGGATCACCGCCGAACGCGGCGATGTTCTGCTGCACCCACAGCAGCGCCATGTTCTGGTCGTACAGGCCGTAGTTGCCCCAGGCCTCGTCGTCGTCGGTGCTGAGGAAGCCTACGGACACAAGAAGAGTGCGGTTTGCGGGCCGGGCCTTGGGGGGGGGGGGATTGCTGCGTGTGAGGGTGGGCACACGCTTAGGCGGCCGGTACTGCGCGTGACGAAAAGGGGGGGGTGCCGAACTCAGGCCGCGAGAGAGAGAGAGAGAGAGAGAGAGAGAGAGAGAGAGAGAGAGAGAGAGAGAGAGAGAGAGAGAGAGAGAGAAGAGAGAGAGAGAGAGAGAGAAGTAGAGAGAGAGAGAGAGAGAGAGAGCGAGAGAGAGAGAGAGAGAGAGAGAGAGAGAGAGAGAGAGAGAGAGAGAGAGAGAGAGAGAGAGAGAGAGAGAGAGAGAGAGAGAGAAGAGAGAGAGAGAGGAGAGAGAAGAGAGAGAGAGAGAGAAAGGGAGAGGAGACATTGGTTCAAAAGAATACGAAGAACGTAAATTAAAGCCAAAAATTCAAAGTATCCCAGCGGGCGATTTTTAATCAGTTCCACGGCATTAGACAGGAATTCTAGTTCTCGCATCACTGTGTAATGCGATGATTGTCTACGTCGAGATTCCTTTTCATATGCACAATATCAAGGCGAATAAAAGGTAGTGCAAAAAGCCCCGAGATGCTGGCAAGGACTTCGAAGTATTTAATCTCTTTGTAATTGTCCTTGCTTCTAACATGTTGTCGGGAAAATGAATATTTAAGACTAGCATTGAAAGACACATGTTTGCCTAATTAATCCCCCGGTAGCTGAACATAAATTTTCAAGCACCAGCATCCTCTTTTAAACTTATTATACACCAATGAATGGAACCATGTTTTATCGACCTGATACATGACGATTACATGACACAAAGCCAGACGACAGAAGTCGAATGGCGAGAAGGTAAGCGGCAACAAGTTAACGGGATAAAAGTCGAATCCAGGATGTCAAAGCGGCAAAAGTGAAGAGGGTAGAAAGCCGAATTGTAAGAGGTCAAAATCAAAACAGTCAAATAAGAAATTGGGAATTCGAAAAGTGAAAAAGGATAAAAGTCAAATACAACCAATCAAATAAACAAAGCCTTAAAAGAACTATAAGTCAAATCGATCGAAGCAGAACAGGGCGTTGACCAAAACACGCTTGTCCCCTAGACAGATTTAAGTCGTGAAAAGCAATAGCACCTATTTTACATGTGTTTCGGTTTGTGAAATGCTGCTCCACAGCCGGACTTTTGATAACTGTGGGTAAAAATGTATATTAAGTCAGTATACAGCTTAAATCGCAGAGCACAGTCATCAGTACACTACAGTACAGTACAGTACAGTACAGTCATCGGAACCAATGCTTGCTCTATAACGACCTTTAACCAGTGCCTCCTGGTATACTGAAGGTATATAAGGCAGCTCAGCAAAATATCTCTAAACTCATAAATGATAGGTTCTCAGGAAAAACGGCTTATGTCAGTCTGGTAGCCTGATGTCGGTCTGACTGCCATTATTCTGGGACCAAGGCCTCAGTGTTCTCGTTTGAAGTATACATAGTGTGGTCATGCATTACAGACACAGTGGCCACAATTTGATGTGGTTATTGTGCCTAGGTGGGAAATTTCGGGAGTGGACAAAAACGGGTCCATCGGAATGCAGATCAAAATGATGTGTCACAGCTAACTGTCTTACCAAAGGTGGAATGATCACGAGATCCGGTGTAATATAGGACCGCATCCCAATCCAGTAAAGGGATTCTTCGTTCTATCCAGTGCCTCCTGATCCCGAGCCAGGATCTTTGGGAACAGGTCACGCGAAAAAGAGGCGTCCTGACCTAGAAATAGAACCCCTCACCCCTAACACAAAACAAGGACTTTGGATTCAATCCAGGTAGGGCCTGAATAAAATATGAACCAGGATCCAAAGCATTGCCCGACTCATTCAGAAAAAGGCATTCCTGGTCCAGAAAAGAATAGATGCATAGAAAATGCATATGCTCTTGATGCATAGAAAAGCCTTCAGAACCCGGTTGGGGATCTTCTAGCTTAGCCATAGGGCCTCCTCGATCTGAGTTTGACAGCAGATGCGATTACGAAACTTTTAGCCCAATTAAAAAGGGACTCCTGAACTGGGGGACGGCAAATGCATAGTATTGCCTGCCCGCGGCCGCAGCAATATTGCATAGTATTGCCTGCCCGCGGCCGCAGCAATATCGCATAGTATTGCCTGCCCGCGGCCACAACAATGTTGAAATACACCTACAAACTTCGCTGTGATCTTAACATAAACGTTGAATGCTCGCACGACATTGAGAATGCGCACTTTTCTGGAGCTGATCGACCAAACCCACGCCAGCAACCCGCCACCCAGCCAGGAATGCAGCCAGCAAGCCGATATACGTACCAAGCGCCCCGAGCCGGTAGTTGAGCGTGACAAGAACGACGTTCTCGTCCATGAAGTAGCCGGGCCCGTACTGGTCAGGGTTGCCGGAGCCGAAGAGGAAGGCGCCGCCGTGGATCCACACCATGACGTCCAGCGGCCGCTCCGCCTCACTCGGGAGCTGCCGACCGAGCAGAGGTGAGGCAGGAAGGGGGGGGGGGGGAGAGGACCCGGGCGCACGCCGAGAGCGCCGTTGTGGGCGGAACACTGCAGGGCGGCTCGTGAGGGGAGGCTCCGCAGAGCCGGGCAGGCTGCACGAGCCCCGGCCCCCCTGGCCTCACACGCCCCATCTCCGCCGCAGGGTTCTTCCGTTCTCGTTCTCGTTCTCGGTTTCTCCGTCACCGAGGGCCGCATTTGTCTGAACATTTCAGGCGTTGGGAGCGGGTTCGCGTGCAGTGTGGGCGCTGAAGGGTCTGTTGCACACGCGAATCCGCTGAGGTCACGGCATGACCAGCACTTTCAAACCAGTTGCTGATGCCGTGGGCGCAGCTTGCACAAGCCGCTCCAATGGTCCATGACTGCAAGGCCATCTTCCTCACCATTCGTCGCAGGTTAACGTTTCATCAGTGCCTTATTGTTAGGTGGTGGAATGCATTACCAGAGAGCGAAACATCATATATATATATATATATATATATATATATATATATATATATATATATATGTATGTATGTATAAACCGTGTGCGACGTTGCGTGAAACAATCGCCCAACACCAAGCTACAGTTCGCAGGCTCTGGAGGCATTTAATTTGATAACCAAGGTCACTTATGGCTGCCAGCAATGGGATGGGCGTTTGAATAATTGGATAATAGCATCATCTTTCGCTGCCCTGCCGCTCCATGCGGCAACAGAGAGAAACGGCGTGACGGCTCTAACCGCGCACACGATGGAGAGCCAGCGGCGTAGCCAGGACTTTGCCTGGGAGAAGGCCAACTTGTGGCCCCTTTGGCCTAGGAAGACCCATGTCTTCCTATGGCGATGTAGGAACCTGTTAGGGGTTTTAAAGGGATCTTACTTTTGGATTCTCGAAACCATTTTAAACTCAGGATCTAATTTGATCTTTCCAGGGCTTCGTAATTCAAGCTCACCGGTATAACATTACATTAGTAACCCTGTTGAAAAATACACATATGCCGTGCTCTTGACGAGCGGCCGCCAGAAGAACACCGGGAGGTGCGTACCTTAGGAGTGTAGACGTTGAGGAAGAGGCAGTCTTCGTCGCCCTGGTACTGGCCCAAGAAGAACTGGGGACACATGTTGCCGGGAGCCGTGGCGTCCCGGGTCCCCGTCCAGCCCTCGGCAGGAGCTGTGCGCTGGAAAACGCCGCGGAACAAGCGGAAGTGTGAGGGCGGGTAAAACAAATAGGCGGCGTCAGCAGACGGTCGCCACTTGTTTTTAATGAAGTGATAAAGACGGGGAGGCATGCAGAATTTCACGATGAGGTGAGGCACAGCTCAAAATCTTTTACTGAAAAAACATGTTAGCACGCGGTAGGTGTGCGAAATTTCGGGCATAGCGTATAACAACATAGCATGTTTCACAATATACTTATTTTGACGCGTGCACGTCTCTTTTCCATCGGCAGAAATTACTCCTACGCTTGTGAATGCGTGTCAGTGTTTGATAGGGGGATCATGTGCCGCAGTGTTCCTCCATCTGAATACGGCCCCGGAATGCAGAAATAATGGACGTTGATTATATATTTATATACCTCATGTATGCATAACATATGCACCCAAAAATCCAAATCACTATCATGGACACAAAAATACACCATACTGTTCGGCAGGCACGGTGCATTGCTTTATATTTTCTATGTTATCATAATATTCTTGGCTTGATCGGGTGCATTCCTTAATGATGTAAGCGAACAATGGTAGTCAAATTTCTGGATTTCCGCCGTAAATACCCTGCAAGATTTAAAAACATGTACTTTAAATAATCCTCCACTTATTGTGTTGCTGGGAGATTCACGCCAACGCCCTTGTTGAAAAACAGGCCCAAACGGTAACTAAAGCTCGCTTCCCCTACACTTTTCTACGAACCGTTTCTCCACTTTCGCGTGACCGTGGGATCAAAAGGGATTAGGAGAGAGAACCACAAGATTGGAACCACCATGAGATTTTGCGTACGTCGAGCAATAACGTTTATACCTCCATCGTTATCATGGGGTGTTCCACCAGAGCTCACGCTGCCCCCTCCCCCCCCCCCCCCACTCCCCAATTAGCTGCCGTGCTTGCTGTCCAAGCCAATCAGTTCCGTGGCCAGTCCGCCTAGTCTCGGCCAGCCGGTCAATACACATCAGCAGGCGTCATCTGCATTAACAACGAGTCATTACCCGGCGGCAACTCATTCGCACTGCTGCGGCGGCCACACCGCGGCCACGCCGCGGCCGACTCGCAGCAGTTCGCGCGGTCGAAAATCAATTCCGCGCACGAAAGCCGAGTGGCCGGGCGGGACGCGGCGGGACTCTGAGGAGCCAGCTGCGGCCAGGCTGCTGACTCGAGTCCAGCCGTCGCCAGTCGAGTCACGAGCGGTCGCTGGGCCGGACGCCACGGGACTTTGTCGAGTTTTATTGCTGTCGCGCCGCCATAATGTCCGTATCGGCCCACCGCCAGATAGCGCGGAAGGATGTCCCCAGGTATGTAACGGCGCGCGTGGCCGATAAATAGAGCTGCGAGCCCCTTTCACCGCTTAGGTCAAGCGGGGCGAGTAGGGCAGCCAACTTAATGAGATTCTGAAAAACGCACATCGTGCCACAGCTTCAATTTGAGATCGCGTCCCCCACGCAAAAAAGTAAAAACGTTAGAGCTCGTAAGTCCATCTTTCAAGATGCGTAGGAATAATCGCATAATGCGGCAGAAGTCTTCCATAATAAGACAAAAGGAATAAGCAGATAAGCATGTTTATTTAACATAGGTGCTTGCGTGCTGATTTACTAAATGATTGTGCCGAAAGCTTACGAATATATAAAATGAGCTGTTGCATTGCATACACAACGTGCATTTTCACTTTGTACAGACATGTTTGGCATGATTTGTGCGGTATCTAGGCCGATCCATTATTGTGATTTGCTCAGAGACAGATATGCATACGTGTCAATGGATATGACAGAGGGCAACATTAGGCTGTGCAGTAACATGGGGAAAATGACGTGAAACTTAGAAAAATGGGCCGGTGATCGCTAATGCAACCCTTTCCCTCTCCACCGGGGTGTTCTGTAAGATGGTCGTTGCAAAAGCCTACAAAAGATTTGAAAGCTCCACCATTCCGGTCTAAAAAGTTGCCATACAATGATGGGAATGACGTTAATTGGAACCTAAGATCACCTTCAACAGTGTATACAGATCCAGTGTCATCGTGGCTGACGGCGAAACGTCTCGTAATTTAGAACTAAGGCTCGGAACCGCCGCGAGTCAATAAAATGTAACAAATCACCTAAGGCCTGCACCTGTAATTGGCGACCGCTTTCCTAACTAAATCAGCGATGTGCAATTGTTCAATATTCTCCCCTAACGCCCAGCTCGGCCGAAGAGAAGAAACTTTAAAATCGCAGAGCAAGCAGAGGCTTTAAAGAGACCGATCGGCATTTTCCTTTCTGTTTTATCTCAAGCGATCTTCCGAAACTGCTTGGAGGTTGGGGCGTTAAGCCCGTTGCGTGGAAGTCCGGTGCCAAAGAATAACAATAATTTAGCCGGCTAATGCCGCCTGACACTGGGCAGGAAAAGAAATGAAAGAGAAAATAGATTCATATACTCATGGTTTTCACGTTACTCAGGCAGACATCAGTGCGCGCAATGAAGGGAAAGGACGGTCGATTCGTGTGCATCAGCGCAACGGATGATCCCTTGGACATGTATTTGAATTAAACGACGAGAAAGAGCTTCCGTGTGTAACCCAAATTCAGCACACCATTGTTCACAAAGGCTTGTGATCATTTTTACCCTAGAGTTGCATTTCTATCAAAGCGTAGGAAGGGGAACTCAGCCAATAAGCGTGCTTTAAACGCGACCTTGTCTATGTCCGTCTGTCTTACAACGTCCTAATCTCAAAAAGGTTTGAATAACAAAAACGGGATTGTGCGCAGGGGATACTGATCTTGCGTAACCACGAGTTTTTGCTGGATGGTGCGGCTTGCCAAAATTCCCCGTTTATTAAAACCAGATAATCTTGTACTGTGCATAAATTCGATGATGAGCGAGAGGAGGCCAAGATGCGGGTCACCAAGAGGTTGTTTTGGGAAAAGGGTGCCACCACCCATTAACTCAAGGGTGGTGCAAGAATTTCTTCGTCTCTTTAGGGCTAGAAAATTTTTGTTAATAAATAGCTTTCCCAAATTTGAAGGTGTCTTCTGTTATTGCACGTCTGAAGAATGTCAGTGATGGCCGTCAGCTGTTTTCGTGTCAATATCCTGTCATGCTCGTGTCGCATAAGGTCCAGAGTTGCCCCGTCACGTAAGGGCGGGACAACTCTATCGGGCGTCGTGAGAGTGTCGTTGTGGTCACACCAATGTAGTGTATGGAACGAAGTTCGCAGCCTTCGATATTGCATTTTAATTGACACACTACGTTGGTACATTTTAGTTTGTCGGCTGGTCTGGACTGTTCCTCATAAGTAAGTGAGAGATGTTCAAATTGCGATCAATCCACAAATCCCATTTGTCGTGTTGCTGTAACTGTTAATGTGTCCGGAGGACATCCTCAAAGTTGTAAAAAATCTGCCCGTTTAATCTCTGAGCCGTACGAATTACTTTTTCATTCAAGAACATTATTTCAACATTCAAACATTCAAAAACATTATTTTTCCCACGGTCATTGTCGCGCGCTCGGTGCACGCCGTTTGACGTCACTTGCAGTGGCCAACGCCGTTCGGTTTTACGAAAATTGCGGCCAAAGCCATCACTATCATTGCTCCCCGAGACTACAACCGTGTCATTGAGGCTTTATGACACACTCAGCTGCTTGGGTTACATGGCGCCTCTCAGCCTCTCACCCTGGCGGGAAGGGTGGGCATCGAACCCCGTCCCTGTGGTTTCCCAGACGCCAGGGCCCATAAATGAGGCTCCTGTCTGACTTTTCGGACCCTTAATCGTAGGTTCCGAGGGGCCCGTGCCCCCCGTACTCCCCCTGCCTGCGCTACTGCGCGTATGCATCTGTGTGGTCCTGCGTTTTCCAGTATACATAACGCTGTTTCGTGAAACGTGAAAAAAATGACGTTTGTATGGTTTCAAATACCAGCCACCTTGAAGCCGTTGATGTTCCATTTTGTCTTTAAAAAATGCAGGGCGTAAAAGAGATCACATGATCAAAGGTAACAATGCAAATTAAGTGAACAAGTCAATTTAGGAAATGTAAGTGGAGTAATGTCTAGTAGAGTAATACTTGTCATTTTCTTTCTTTCAAAGTCTTGGTTTATCATCTGTTATTTATATAACTTTGAGTGCCGCTTGAGAACCATTAGGACGTTGGTTTGGTCAACAAATGTGATATAGTTGACCAAGATCGCTGTGTGTTTTGGTCATTCTGAGAATCTGAAGTTTCTTTGCAATGAGCCTAAGTCCTAAGCCTTGAAGTAAACGGAATGTGGTAACTCAAGCAAGAACTCTTGCCTTGAAAACAGGTATTAAAGCAATAAGTATTGATATATTTCTTAGTTTTTTTCTTAGCTTTCAAAGAGTATGTTGAGATTATGTACAAGCATATGTGTCAGGAGTGACAAATAAGATTTGTCAGTGCTAGTCTTGAAAACCGAATTAGGACAGCAAACAGTCTTGTGGACTGGCTATAGTTCATAGCTGTGGGACTGAAATTATGGTAGATTTGAAATATTTACTAGGAATAAAGACAATGCTGCGGACCTGTGCGTGCTATTTTCACAAAAATTGTCCTGCGGGCGGGATGAGTTTCAAAATTTTTATATATGGCGGGCATGGACTTTTTAAATTAACAAAGTTTCGGCACAAGTACTCATGCATATTTAGAAGTTATTTCTGGCTCAATCCGTGCGCTGTGCGCTGTAAAATTTGATGCATACCCCGAATTGCTGTGGCGCAAAGATACGACATACAAATAAAAGCCATCAAAACAGGCAACATATATTTTCATTGCTTCGGTGTACGTGGTGTATGGCATGTGCAACCACACACGCGGCACCCCGTCCTTCTCCTTTCAATTATACGCCAAAAAAGGCCCCCTCACAATCGTAGCTCCGACCCGTGGTCATCGGGATAGGGTGGCTCAAACGGTGGTTAGTCCGAACGGTTGCGCCATCGTGCAAAAATAATTGCCTAAAAACACACCTTGCAGCACGCTCTGCGTGCTGCCGTTGACCTCACGTCAACGAGACCTACCACTCGCTGTGTTTCTTCATGATGGCATGTGAATTAATGTTAGGCTATTACGCTGTAGATGTTGTGTATTTTAAATCTGATTTATGACCAAAGGCATTATTATTTAAGTGCCTACCAAAGCACGTCATGAACAGTTCTGTTCAGGACAGTAATCTGTACTGTTAAAGACCGCAGCCTGTACCACATGGGAAGCGCTGGTATCATCTTTAATTCAAAATTCAGTATTTGCTTAAAGATCCCAAGGAAGAGTACTTAAAATATGGCAACTAGTACACACGTGCGGGCAAGCCGCACACCAGTCGAAAGTGACGGTTGCAAAGCTGGTGCACAGGCACGTGTTGAACTGCGAATCTGTGGCCAGGCAATATGGGGAGTAAGAGTTTGTTTCGCCTAGAACATCTGTTCTGCCTAATGTTAGTATGGTGTGGTACGGTATTATACCCTTGCATAGTGTGATCTAATCAAGGCCAAAAATAGGAGTTTAATTCAAAGACTCAGCTTTCTGTAGGTCACTATCTAAATACGTCATAATCGATGAGCCCGTATTCATATATGTTACAAGAAGTAGAGCTTACTGTTTCGCCACACAAATATGCGGCTGTATTGAGATTCCAGCATGTGCCTTATCAAATAAAATCGCAATGAAATAATATTTTGTGATCAATGCCACCACAGACATCCTATTTTTTCAACCACTCACCCTGACCTGTCTTCCTGCCTCTGGCTACATCACACGACATCATGCCTTGTGTTTATCGTGCAGGACATTCATTTCAATGAAAGCAAAAAAAACACTTTAGGCTCTGTTACGCATTACAACGTATGAATGGTGCTGAGCTTCTAACAACTTGTCATATGTATTTAGCCTTGCTGTGTAATCTTTGTGCCATGAAATGCGATGTTTGGTTTGCTGACTTGACCATTTTGTTTAATTTTACCTCCAAATATGTATTTCTAGGACCGCAAATGCAATAATGTGGAAATTTTCCGTTCTGCAAAACACCAATGCCTCCTTCCTTGCCTGTTAGGGCCCGAAACAAGCGCTTGCGGACGTTGTACGCCAGCTTTTGCGAACATTCGGCCTCCAAAATGGCAGCTCCAGCGACGATTACAGATCATCATATGCAGAGATCTCAGACTGACCCGACATCACCCGGTCAGTGCTCGAGCTCACCTTGAAGCGTAGCTCGCCGACCGGCGGCAGGGCGTACGGGATTCCCTGGAATGAGTGGAAGGGCTGGCCGGCGGCGCTGCTGTCGATCCGGCCGACCAGCTTGCCCTGCGTGAGGCTGACCTCCGGTGCAGCGCCCCGCGCCGGCCCGGCGGCCAGCAGCAGCAGCAGCAGCAGCATCGGCGTCAGCTGGAGCTGCATGGCGTGGCTCCTTCCCGAGGTGCGCCGCGAGACTGGCGGCGGCGGCGGCGGCGCGACGGCTCGGTCCCCAGCCCTCCCTTCTGCCTGAGCAGGTGTCCAAGGTCGCCTCCGGGCCAGATGCGGGCACTTACATGTCATTGATGATGGGTGCCACAGCTGGCTGGGAGGGGCAGCATTCGCAGGAAATACCTTCTGCTGTCTGATTCATCCTCATTACGCAGGTGTGTGCATAGTTGGAGATGTTCTCGTCCAATTAACAGAGCCTCATGAATCTGCTTGGTTATTCAGTATATGCAGTCCTCTTTATCAAGACCTTTAAACCGTGCTACCTGTGTAAAAAACAACATCCTATTTTTCAGCTGGGTTCTTTAGAACGTCGTCGTTGAAACAGGTGTTCGGCTCGCTCGTAGATCGTGCGTGTCGTTCGAATGTCCTGAAATAAGCAACGCCCACCTCAACAGAGCGTCAGTTTTGGTCGGATGCTTTCTGTACAAAAATGGAGGTATCTGTGCTGAACAGATCAAAGTGGCTTCTTTCTTGCTCTAGAGGCTAATCAAAGTTGACCATATAACCGTCCACTTTTTTATTCTTCGCCAATAAGATGGTTTACCAACTTAACTTTCCAAGCTCAATAAACAACTTTCTTAAGCAATATTTTTTAACACCAACAAGATGTTCTACAAAGTCCATGACGAGCAGGGCGGATGCTCGACCAGCGTCATTGTCTAACATATATGGGAGCAAAAGCGAATGGGAGCTCAGACGTTTTTAGGAACTACGTAAGTATGCACGACCGATAACTTGATGCAGGCAAGGTTGGGTAAGCCCTAGCCTATTGCTTACTAAGGCTTACTAAGAAGAGGCACAGGGGAAACTGGCTGGTATATTTTGATCAGGGACACTTGCAAGTTCAACGTTCCTCCTCCTCTTTCATGCATGTGACCTGAGTGTTAAAGGCAGGTAATTCAATTCTCAGAAATTTCATAGTCGAGGTGATTTTATCAATGCTCACTATGCCACATCACAGGTATTAGGCAAACAATGTTGCGCATTTCATTACACCGCTATAATATTTGTCATACACATGCCCTCCGTAGGTTTAAAATTAAGACGCAACGAAAAATATACACTGCACTCAACTTAGCATTTGCGGGTTAATACCCGGTCGGCATGGTAACATAGCGGGCTTTTGTGGGCTATATCCTTAACTGGCCGGCGTAGGCTGGGCTGCGGACCGATGTTGCACATTTTGTAAAAAGTGGCGTCTCTAGTGGAAGCACAAGCTATGGCGACACCGGATCCAGCATTTCGCCAAGGTTAAGGTCATTTGAATTTACAACACCTTGTAACCCGGCAAAAATGCCAAGACAAAACAATTCCGCTGCATGCATTTCACGGTAGCGTTCATGCGCTTTGAGCGCGCTCAAGCTCTTAAAGATTTAGATGGTGGTGGATATTTATAATTTTTGTCAGGGGCCGTTGGTCACAGCTTAACCCTGGTACCGAAGGTGTAGAATCGTGCTCAGTTGAAGAGCTCCAATCCATTCCAACGTACAGCTTTTCCCCAACTTTACCAAATGTGTCCTCGACCTTTAGAATTTTTTAGCAATACGAGTAGCATCAAGCACACTAAAAGATGATGGTTTACATTTACCCAACTGGTCAAACAAGATGCTCAAAGTCGGGAAAAAACGGCATCTGGAGGTGCCATAAACTCAGCTCATTCATATCATCGTATTCACGAATCTGTCCAACAACTGGCTTTTTGCTCGATTCAGCCAAATTACAAAAGTACTATAAATGCAATATAAAAACATGACATCAACGCGACTACATTCGCAAGTTATCGAGCACCCAGTCGCTCACACAACTTCGTCAAAAACGGCATCAATAGTCAAAATATAAGTCGTCAACACATGTTATACAACGGCAAGCAATACTTGCACAACGGGACTGTCGAAATCCTCTAGCCCGGTACGAAATTCATTGCGAGTGCGAGAGGGGATGAGGTCGGCAGCAGACAGCTACAGGAGGATGCTGCGCGATACGAAAATGCTCTGCGTGTCGCCGACAGTCGAAGAGCTGACATTTCAAGGGCGTCCGTCGCTGCCGCCCGGGTGGAACTCTGACATGCAGCGGTATGTGGTTTGGACAGGGCCCTGATGATCACCGGAGCACGCGAGTCACTAAGGGCCCTAGATACAGCGAGGCCGTCAGACGCTGATTAGCCTGACTATTTGTGATCAGTCAACTGCCAACCGCATCAATGAAATCCGTTTCCTGTGCGCTGCTAATAAGTTCGCGTTGGCTGCTGTATGTTTCTTCGGTTTTCCGACTGGACAACATCACCAGATTATGGCATTTTTTTTCAAGTTTTTCTCGTTTTTGCGCCGAACAGTAACGGTCAGCTTAGCTTAATGCTTTGTCTGCCAAAAATTCAGAGGTCGTTTCTTCCCCTCACCCACAGATATGACTCTAGGCCGGTTCGTGGAGGTTAAAAACTCATTCAGCCGCCAGGCTCAACCAGAACGGCCATAAGTAAAACCGTGCGCTCACTGTCACGGCCAGTGATACGAAGAGGAAGGAACGCTGTCTGAACATAAAACGCGCGTGAGAGTTATTCCAACATTGGCCAGGCTCCTCAGCATCACACCATTGGCCGGAGGGGGGGGGGGGGGTGCAGATTTGTCCCCTGGTTACCTCGAGAGTGACCAGGCCCAATTCAAAAACTCAAATTTGCAATCGAGAGCACCGCGCCGTGCAGTTTTAGACCACACAACAGCCTTAAGTTTAAGTGGCAATGTTACAGGTCAAGGTCAGATATCAAAATGCTACCTTGGAATATCTCACCGCCGCCATAACGGCTTTTATTTAGAAGCGTATGCCATGGTGTGAAATAATTGTGCCCTGGTGAAACATGCGAAATAGGAAGGCATCCAATGTTGCGCGCGCCGTACCAGGCCTAAAGCCAAGGTCACGTACCGTGCAAATGAGAGCTGAAACCCGGGTCAGCATGTTTATCTTGGTCTATTTATGTCCGTCATATTTGAGCTATCTAAATGCAAATTGGAAGAGCTTATCTGCAAGTATGGGTATCAGAAGCATGGGCAAGAGCTGTTACCCGGTCGTAAATCGTCAAGGTCAAGGTCAAATGGATGACCCCGCCGGAGAGTCGGAGAGCCGGTGTTGGTTGGATCGATTTTCGCATTGTTTTCGACGGTCCACTCCTGCCGACAGCACAACCTGAAACCCCTCAACCCCGCCGCCAGTCACGTGGTCGTCGGTATGTGTGTGAAAGTGATGAACGACTCCCGCCGTCCCGTCACCGCGCCGCCGCGACGGACCTGAGCGTCGTGCCCGCCGCCGCCGGCCCGGACCCGCCTGGGCATGGGCAACGTGCGCTGTGATGCATTTCAAGACATAACCCAGTCATTGTTGCAGATCATCGCTGGGAAGTTGGTACAAACATGATTCATAGTCATAGGACATGACTGTGCCTGTTTGTTTTTTTAAATTGTGTGTCAAAGGCTAAACGGCTTAAGACGAAAAACAACACAAAGACATGTGGGTGATAGATTGATTGCGTCTCATTTCCGGCTAACAGATATAAAAATGTGTTATTTCGTTCGGCTTTTCTAACACTTTGTCACTGGCCATGTGCTTTTCTAAAAAATCGGCAAACCTGACGTCACTCTGAAGTCCCTCACGCATGATCTGTTATGGTCCCGTAGTTGTTATTCTGGCACAAGACGTAGAACTCATTCATTAACAGCTGTCAGAATTTTCGCGGCGATATCTCAAGGCGTTTTCTTAATTATCGCGAATATTGGACAGAGGGCAGGTTTGACCACCTTCGGTCAATGGCGGGTTATAGACAACACTGCATGAATAACGGAATTGCCTCTCACATGGCAACATCCATTTTTATCGTCTCGCTCGTTTTATTCCAAACAGGATATGTTTTTGGTCATATGGGTTCATGACCTCATGCGCCATTATGTGAATCGATGATCAGTAACCGAAGAAACTGGTGTTCGTACAAAATGCTTTAAATGGGAGCATATTTCCTTTAAGTTAACCTCACTGACCTCTGCAGTGCAACGCTCCAAAAAACGTGGAATTGGTAATATTTTCCACGTTATTTGCTTCTGTACGTTTGCCGACTTTGGAAATGTTATTGATGATGAGCGATCGTAAAATGAAGAAGGTATTTGTATCTAGCAGTTATGATCTTTGGCCAGGAAGGGACAACATGTACGTTGCACTCGATCTCCCACGAGAACAGCCGTCATGCGAGCTGTCGCCGAAGTTTCTGCCCGACTCCGTCGAATGTTGCAAACAGCCATAGCTTTCAGTCATTTCCATTTGGCAATGAAACGTTTTGCTGACCATAAAACATCTTATCGGCTCTTGTTATAGCAGGCGTAAACAGCTCAACAAAATATCCCGGGGCCGTGATCAGCCCAGTTCCGATGCGCGTACCCGCATGGTGGCGGCCCTCCAGCGGGACCGCTGGCAGCGACCATGTCCCGCCCCAGGACGGCGCCAGCTGATTGTTAATGGTCCACGCCCCGGCGGAAACTCCTCGACGGCTGTTGGCACGCTGCGACCCCCCCCCCCCCCCTCCCCCCCGCGGCCGCCTATCAATCCGCCCGCCAGCCATCCGGGCTGGGATATCCCCCGGCGGCGGCTGGCTGTGCTCGGAGCCGCTCGTGTTCCAGAAGGCCAGGGCGAAAGCTTGCTATTTGGGCAGCCACATGGGGTCAGAATGGAATATGAGCGAAAAGTATGAGCGTGGTACGATGGGGTTCTTGTTGAATGATTAAGTCATTATTATTTTGTGATGGGATCTGGGCCTGTTCGTCGTGATGTACTAATAGTTATTCTATACGACTATTATTACAAAAGACTAAATAAAAATGAAGATAAACTGCATACATTTGGACACCCAACCGAGCTTACAGTGTTGGTTTAATCAAGCATTATTCAAATGTTGTTCAAACATCATTCGTTCTGAAGGCATCGGAAATTC